TTTTTTTTGAGGAAGATTAGCTCTGAGCTAACATCTGCCACCAATCCTCCTCTTTTTTTGCTGAGGAAGATTGGCCCTGAGCTAACATCTGTGCCCATCTTCCTCTACTTTATATGTGGGACACCTGTCACAGCATGGCTTGATGAGTGGCTCTACGTAGATGCCCAGGATCTGAACCAGCAAACTCCAGGCTGCCAAAGCAGAGTGCTCATACTTAACCATTATGCCACTGGGCCAGCCCCCTCTTCCTTTTTTTTAAACAGCTTCACTGAGATATAATTCACATACTATAAAATTCTCACCTATGAAGTGTACAATTCAGTAGTTTTTGGAATAGTCAAAAACTATGCAGCCAGCACAAGTATCTAATTCCAGAACATTTTCATTATCCCAAAATGAAACTCCATACCCACTCTCCATTCTCCCCTGTCCCAGTCCCCGTCAACCACTAATCTACATTCTGTCTCTATGGATTTGCCTATTCTGGACATTTTATATTAACAGACTCATAAATATGTGACCTTTTGAGACTGACTTCTTTCACTTAGCATAACGTTTTCAAGGTTCATCCATGTTATAGCATGTACATTAATTTGATTGTGATGATTTCATGGGTGTATACATATGTCAAAACTTATCAAAGTTTATGATTTAAACAGAAGCAATTTTTTGTATGTCAATTATGCCTCAATAAAGTTGTCAAAAAAATAGGCAAAAGATGTTAATAGATGCTTCACCAAAGAAGATAAACAGCAAATAAGCACATGAAAGATTCTCTATATCATTAGTCATCAGAGAAATGCAATTAAAATTACAATGAGACATCAATACACACTTACTGGAATAGATAAATTTTAAACTACTAACAACACCAAAAGCCAATGTGAATGTAGAATGACTAGAACTGTCATATGCTGCTAGTAGGAAAACAAATGGAATAACCACTTTGAAAAAAAGTTTGGCAGTATTTTATGAAGTTAAACATACACCTACCATACAATCTAGCAGCTTCACTTGTAGGTCTTCACTCAGCAAAAATAAAAATCTATGACCACACAAAGACCTTAGCAGCTTTATTATTATTAATAGCCAAAAGCTGTAAACAACTGAAATGTCCATTCACTGGTGAATTGATAAAGAAATTGTGGTACATATAGGTAATGGAATACTATTCACACATAAAAAGGGATAAACTACTGATACATGAAATAACATGGATGAATCTTAAATGCATTATAAGTGAAAGAAGCAAGACGCAAAAGGCTGCATACTACAGGATTTGATTACCATGATGTTCTCAAAATGCAAACCTATAGCGGCAGATATCAGAGCAGTGATTGCCAGCAGCTGAGAACTAATGACAGAGGAGCATGAAGGAACTTTACAGATTTATAGAAATATTCTATATCTTGACTACAGTAATAGTTCACAACTGTGTATACTTGTCAAAACTCATAGAACCATATTCCTAAAAAGAGTGAATTTTACCATATGTAAATTATGCCTCAATAAAACTGACTTTAGGAAAAAAAAAAACCAGCCAGAAGAAAAACACCACATTACACACAGGAGAACAAAGATAAGAATGACTCCAAATATCTAACTAAAAATAACACAAGCCAGATGACAAAAGAATACTAAAGTGCTGAAAAAACAGTCAATCTATGGGGCCGGCCATGTGGCATAGTGGTTGAGCTTGGTGCACTCGGCTTTGGTGGCCCAGGTTCGCAGGTCTGGATCCTGGGAATGGACCTACAAGACTCATCAGCCATGCTGTGGCGGTGACCCACATACAAAGTGGAGGAAGACTGGCACAGACGTTAGCTCAGGGCTAATGTTCCTCAAGCTAAAAAAAGGAGGAAGTCTGGCAACAGCTGTTAGCACAGGGCTAATCTTCCTCAGCCAAAAAAAAAAAATAAAGTCAACCTGAATTGCATATCCAGTTTAAAAATAAATCTTTCAAAAATGAAAGTTAAATAAAAACATTTTCAACCAAATAAACACTAACAGAATCCATCACCAACAAGCCACACTATAAGCAATGTTAAAGGAAGTTCTTCAGATTGAAGAAAAATGATGAAAACTTGGATCTACAAGAAGAAATAGAGTGCCAGATGTAGGTAAGATGTAGGCAAATAGAATTTACTCTCTTTTTCTTAATTTCATTAAAACTTCCTCACAAAGAAAATGCCAGGCCTAGATGGATACACTGGTGTATTCTATCAAACATTTAACAAAGAAATAATACCATCCTATACAAATTCTTTCAAGAAATCTAGGAGAATATAACACATCATTGAAAGATGTCAGTTAGCATGGCCCTAATTCTAAAACCAGACAAACACAAGAACGCAAAACCAAAGACCAATCTCCCTTATGACTCTAAAGGAAACAGTTATAAAATCACATTAAAAGACATGAGAACAATCAGGATATACTATGTTCATGGATGGAAAGAATGAATATTGTAAAGTTAATTTTTCCCAAATTAATCTGTATATTCAATGCAATTCCTATGGAAACCCCAAAAAGATTTCTCTTAGTATTTAATAAACTGATCGTGAAGTTCATATGGAGGATCTAAGGGTCAAGAATAACTAAAGCAAAAGAACAACTTGGTATGGGGGTTAGGGGCAACAGTTTAACCTATTGGAAATAGTCTTATTTCAGAGCTAACACAATTAAAACACCATGTTATATGTTCAGGGCTAGACAAAGGAGATGGGCTGGAGAGCTCAAAAGCAAAGGCAAACAGATTGAAACTATATGGGACAAACATGACATACATTCAGTGGGGAAAGTATGTCCTATTCCAGGGGATGGGGAACTTTTTCTGTAAAGGGCCAGACAGTACTATCTTAGGCTTTGAGGCCCATATAGTCTGTCACAACGCCTCAGCTCTGACGTTGTAGCACAAAAGCAGCCACAGACAAGTAAACAAATGGATGTGGCTGTGTTCCACTGGAACTTCATTTACAAAAACAGATGGTGGGCCAGATTTGGCCCATGGGCCATGGTTCTCCAAACAGCAACAGAACAATGAAAAAAAAAAGTTGGTTAAAACCATTCTTCACATCATACAGAAAACTAAGTTCCAGGTGAACTGCAGTTCTAGTGTGAAAAAATGATGCTCGAAATAGTTCAGAAGATGACGTAGGAGATTATATTCAGAACATGCTGGTAGAATTTCACAATAAAAACTATTTTAATTTAAAACATCCAAAAAATTAGGGCACATAAATTATTTTAACTCTCATGTTGAGCAAGAATTTTCCTACTTTTTATGTTAATTTAAAAAGACTCAGAATACAAAATCTTGCCAACCTATTTCTTGTGTGCCTATGTGCTCATATCCTACTGTCATCTGTGAACGATCTTCCCATAACTTTTGCATTTCAGAGACTTCTAAAATTCTTAAACCAGTGCACATTTGAAAGTTTTGCTGCTAACACAACTACTTCAGCCTTCTCACTCCCCACTTCTTTCAGAACTCCAAGTCTTAAAGCGACTCAGAAGTTGAACGACATGGCCATTTTTTTAAAAGTAAAACACTTAGCTGGTTTTGCACTTAACTATTTCTGCTTTCCAGAAAATAGAAATAAATCTCTAGAACTGAACTAGGGTTCTACGAATATTCATACTTCAAAGTGGTCTCTAAAACTCCCTGATATTGATAGAAAATTTGTGTGTGATTGTGTCATATTCTATACAAAAGCTCTAAGGTTTTTCTTGGTTCTTGAAGGGGACCGCGACTCCCCAAAAAGTTAAGAATCTGTTCTAGAGGCTGGACATATATAAAATCAAGTTAAATTATCAAATTGGAAAGAAAAGAGGATTTTTGTAGTCATGGACAGAGGGGTAACGGAAAGCTGCCCAATTATACTGTAAAACTCCTGAAATGGTCCTGAATCTCAATTTGAAATTGAATACGTTGGGGAGTCGGAGGAAAGTCGTATTATAATAGATAGAGAAGCTAAAGGTTAGCGAAGAGGTTTCAATCCACGGTCGCTTTTACGTTTCCGATCAAGCCTCAGTTTGTACTCCAACAGACCTACCGGCTTTCTTGTTTTAAGATCTGGACAGCAGTCATAACCCCAAGACGAAACTTCTCTACATCAACAGAGTCTGACCAAGAATAAAATAATCATGTTTTCGAGATGAATCCACCATCATCCAGAGTCAGCAACTGCAACAAGTAACTTACATTTCCGTACCGCTTTGCAAAGCGCTTTCACGCGCTGCTTTCCACGTGCCCTCGCTACGTCCCAGGCGGGAAGGGGAGGACCGCAGCACCCTCTTTCTTGATGAGGAACGTTCTGGACTCTGAGGTGTGGGACGCTCACCAGGTTGCTCAGGAGACATTTTTCCACAGTCAGAGGCAGGGAGAAAGTTTCTGAGAGTGTTGGTGATGGAAGGAGGCTGTAATTATGACAGAGATGGGGGGAGCGCAGGATAGTGGGGGGAGACGTAAACACGTCAGCGCTGGAGGGCTGCTTCTGGGGAGGGATGGAAGCGGAGAGACCCCGGAAGGTAGCGTTAGGAGCAGCCTTCCTTCGGGGGCGACAGAAGCGGGCGGGCGCACAGTCTCTCAGACGCGAGGAAAACGGCGCGAGGAAAGAATCTAGAGGCTGCGAGGAGGCGAGCAGAGGACCTGCCTCAGGCGAGGGAAGCAGCGCGGTGGAAGTGCCGCATTCCGAGGAGGCCTGTTGGACTCGGGGCCCCTCCAGCGCCGGCCGCCCCTCTGGTCATTCTCCGCTCAGGGTCTCTCACCGCCCATTTGCTGACTCCAGCAAGACGCCCAGCTCCACTCCGCACCTCGGACACTACGCGCCACAAATTCAAAACTGAGTCCAGAGCCTCGCGGGCCCGAACGTCTCCCAGAGTAAGAGCCAGACGGACCAATCGAAGCCCGGCGGGCCCCAGACGTCCAAGCCGGTGGGCGTGGCAAAGGGATGAGGGTGGGACGATGCGGTGTTGCCATGACGACGGCTTCCGGGAGGGCAGGTTGAGGTGACTTCCGGCCGGAAGGCGAGACTCCGCGGGAAAAGCGCCTCTGGTTGGTAGACCGGTAGGTTTCTGGCTGAGGCCGTTTCCTCAAGAGCCACCGTGGGTCTGTGCTAGGGTCACGCCACCGGCCTCCGTTTCCTTTATCCTCCTCTCTCACCAAACGCTTTTCCTGTCCAGTTATAAAGTCAAGTTGTTTCCCTAAGGTAAGCTTGTGGTACCACCACCCCCTCGGTCTATAGGGGGTAACGGAAACTGAGTCCCCTTTGTCACACGACGAGCAGATGCTGAAAAAGGAAAGGGAGAAAATTTGGAAATTTCTACCTCATTGTACACATTTTGTACCCTTTAAACATTGGGTTCAGTTTGAGTTCCATTTAAATTATAAATTCTGGTTCTTTCTGATGCCCAGATTCCATCTGAGCCAGGTAACGGGCAAAGACCTGAGTTTTTAAATTTTCTGTAACAGTCTCAAAGCTCGTCTGACAAATTCTTAATCTCCCATAAATCTAAAGGCAGATGGTAAGGCAGCAGGTGCCTTTTGAGCCCAAACCATTTCAAGAATCAACCTAATTCAGCTGAGTCTCCTCCTTTCTTTAAGAGAATTATTTTAATCTCAAATAGTTGAAACCGGCCGCTAAACATGGCTCCTTTGGTTCAACGTGTATCTCATTTGATGATGATGGTCTCACATAAATCTATCTCATGAAAGAAAATAAACATCATTGAAATGATAGAGGAGAAATAAGGCTTTCTACAGACAGATAATTCTTTTCTAAGAAGTCTTACTGCTTTAAAACACATCTTTTAACAAACCACAAAAGTCATCGTTAAATTCTTGTCACCAAAATCTAAAAGAAAACTTCAGCAGAACTTATCTGCTTATCAGGAGGAATTTCTTCCACTAGAGTTAAGGCAGGGAAGCATTTATGAAAGCTTAGATCTATGTGTTTAAGTTGCTGCCAACCCCTTTCTTAAAATTCCGTCTTCAAAACTCCCTGCTAATGAGCACTTTTCCAGCAGCTTGGATGAAACATTCTGAATAACTTCCTCAGCCTGAAGGTTAGAAATTTCATTAAATAAAAAATTAAATACATTAGAATACTTAGGTATGAAACATTAATGACCTGAGTAATACATTCTTCAGAAGAAGAGGCACTTAAGAAAACACAGGCCACCTGCATTGTGGAGCCATATAATGTGATGAGATTTGATAGATAGGCAAGAGATCAAAAAATGGCCAGGATTTCAAAAGAGAATGTGCCACAAGCTGCTTACTGCCTTCATAGACCATTTGAAAATCAAACCTTCAGCAGAAGCCCAAGAGGCCTCAGAGATGAACCAGAGCATCCTTGGGATGTCAGTATTGTACTGAACAAAGTCAGTTGGACTGTTATTTGTCTGGCAAGGAAAAAATGCCTAAATTTTACAAGAACTTCTGTCATTAATTTAACAATATATGGTGATTTTAGGATTTAGAAAGCAGAGAAAGGAGACTTGAACCTAAGTTAGATGTACTTGGGAAAAAGAATGTTCCCCCTAGTAGCAGACATTTTTTTATTTTGTATCCTCTGTTCCTCTCCCCTAGGTGTCCTCTCTCCTCTGCTTAGTTGAATCTTACTTACTCTTCCAGAACCAGGTCAAATTCTGAATTTTTTGAGATATAGCTCATAGTCAAAACTCTCTCTCCTGAAAAACCTACAGAATTATAGATACACTCTCTAAAGCGTTTTTGCTTTAGGCCTTGTAATCTTCCTTATCATTTATGTTGATGAATGTATCTTACATATAGTTTGCCTCATCTACCAGATTCGAAGGATCTTAGAATTATATTCACCACTGTTAGCTGGCAGAGTGACTGGAACATGGTAAACATAATTTTGATGTAAAAAAGCCTAAGTTAAGATTAAGCTTAAATATAGTTGGTAGGTGTATTAGTTTGTTGGGGCTGCCGTAACAAAATACCACAGACAGCGTGGCTTAAACAGAAATTTGAGATCAAGGTGTCAGCAGGGTTGATTTCATTCTGAGGCCTTTCTCCTTGGCTTGTAGATAGACATGTCCTGCCTTTGTCTTCACATGGTCTTTCCTACATGCATGTATGCATCTATGTCCAAATTTCTTCTTATAAGGATACCACTTATACTGGTTTAGGACCCATCCAAAAGACCTCATTTTAACTTAATTACCTCTTTAAAGACCTTATCTCTAAATATAGTTGCATTCTGAGGTGCTAGGCCAGGTTAAGACTTCAACATATGAATGGAGGGGGCGGGGCAGTGCACAGTTCAGCCCATAACAATAGTCAACACTCAAAAAGCAGAAATGATTCAGAACAGTTATCTGTCACCATTAGAACTCTCATCTTTAAACCTATATATAACATAAATGTGTAAATCTGATTAATGTAAGATAATAGGGAGTGGTAGAGCCTGGGGTAAATCAGGGAATATTTGCCCAGACAAAAGACATTCAACTTAAAATTTGTAAACAAAACAAAACACACACCCCACCAAAACAATATTGAGCCATCCAAACAAAACGAACAGTTGAGTGGTTTTGGCTCACAGGGCATTGGTTTGCAAAAACCACCAGCATATTATTTCATTTGGAATTGATCATCTCTTATGGTGGATACTAGACACATTAAGTATGTTTTAGCATATCCAAAGACATTATCCCCAGACCCATTGGTTCACACATAACTTTTTTATTGAGTACCTGCTGCGTTAAAGAAACTGTACTAAGTGCTATATTGTAATTAAAATCCATAAATTTGGCCACTTATATCCAAGAGTTACAAGGACATCCTATTTTTGAGATAATTTATTGTGTATAACTATGCATAATTAAGTATTTTTTGGTACAGCTTTATCCTGTAAATAAATTAGAACTCTGAAAAAAATTCCTTGTCAGCTTATGTCCCCTGATAAGTACAAGGCTCTGTCCTCAAGTATAAGTGTAGAGGAAATGAGACGTACACAAAAATAATTATAGTGCAAGATAAAAGTGAGACCAGAAGAGAATTATAAATAAAGTGCTGTAAGAAATTAGAGGATGAAAAGATTTCTTACAGCTGGGTGTGTTACTAAGGTATTTAATGCAGTTAAAATTAATGTTTCCCATGGCACCTGGTACTTCTAATATAGCATTAATCAGTGTGTTATATGGTAGTTATTTGCATATGTTCATATCTGCCTCAGTACATGCTGAAATACACAAGAATGTCTTAGTCTTTATATGCTCCAGTCTAGTGTTGCCCAAAAGTATGAGTTACCCGGGGAACTTTTTAAAAATAGACTTTTCTCAACTCTAGCTCTGGAGATTCTAATTTAGTAGGCCTGGAGGGGTAGTAGAGAATCTCTTATTTTGAAAATGTTTCTCCCACTTAATGATTCTGATTATCAGCCTCATTTGGAACCTTCTGCCCTAGAGCACCTAGTATATAGTATGCTCTCAATAAATTCTTGCCACATTAAATGAGCAGAGCTGTGATTTAGTAAGATTAATAAGACCCCAGTGTATAGGATAAATTAGAGTGGAAAAGATCCTAGAGGCAAGGAAATCCTATTACAGATGTCCAGCTAAGAGATGAAGCAGCCCTAAACTAGTATAGAGGTCATAGGAAAGGAGAGAAATGGATGAGAAACATCGAAAAGGTAGAATCTACAGAATTAGATGAAACTTGATATAATGTACTAGTTCCCAAAACATGGTGTGCCTAAGACTTACATGGAGTGTTTATTTAAAAAGCAGGTTGGTGGGCTCTGTCTGTGAACTCCTGTTTAGTTAGTCCAGCGTGAAGCACATGAATCTGCATTTTTTAAACAGTCTTCCCTCGTGATTTTGATTAAGGTTTTTAAATCCATTTCAGTTTAAGAACACACTGATCTGTTGACCATTTTAAGTGAGGAAGAGGGAAGATTGAAAAATAATTCTAAAGATTAAACCTTGAGAGAGAGTGAGAATAAGAAGCCATTAAAAGACACTGAGTATTTGGTTTAGAGGGAAATAAGTTTCATCCATGAAGCTATTCAGCAAGAAGAAATGCAGTGTAAGAGCCTGTGAAAGAGGTAGAGAGTGAAGAAAAAATTGGAAAACCTTTGTGATAATAAAGATTTCTAAGACAGAAATCAAGGAAAAAGAAGAGAGTTATGGAGAAAATTGAGAGCGTATTTCTCCCTTTAGAGATCTTGAAATGAAGGAGGCAGCACATGAAATAGAAGGTGGGAAGAAAACCTGGAAAAAAACAAAAAACAAGAGTCTCAAGCAAAGACTATTTCCATCACCTAGTGTGAATGAGAACTACAAGGGTTGTGGGGTGGACATGGGGAGACTTCTGGATTTAACATCTATCAGGTACTCTTTCATAGAGGGAGTTTCATAGAATTTTGTGGTTACTGTGGGTTGAAAAATAAGTTGATGGCAAGAAGATCTAAGCAGGGATGATTAAGCATACAATACACTGTGAAGCTAAAAAAGAGAGAGAGAAGAAGATATTTGCACCCACATGTTTATAGCAGCATTATTTACAATAGCAAAGACATGGAAACAACGTAAGTGTCCATGGATGGATGAATGGATAAAGAAGCTATGGTATATATTCAACAGAATGTTATTCCAACATAAAAATGAGGAAATCATACCATTTGCAACAACATGGATGAACTTTGAGGGCATTATGCTAAGTGAAATAAGTCAGACAGAGAAAGACAAATACTATATGATCTCACTTATATGTGGAATCTAGGAAAAAGAAACCTGAACTCACAGAAAAAGAGATCAGATTTGTTACCAGAGGGAGAGGGTGGAGGAAGGGGAAATTGGAGAAAGGTAGTTAAAAGGTAGAAACTTCCAGTTACCAGATAAATAAGTAGTAGGGATGTAATGTACATTATGATGACTCTAGTTAATACTGCTGTATAATATATATGAAAAGTAAGAGAATAAATTCTAAGACTTCTCATCACAAGGAAAAGAATTTTTTTCTTTTTTTACTTTCTCTTTTTATTGTATCTGTATGAGATGATGGATGTCAACTAAATTTATTGTGGTTATCATTTCAATATATGTAAGTCAAACAATTATGCTGTACACCTTAAACTTATACAGTGATATATGTCAATTATATGAATAAAACTGGAAAAAAAGTGAGATGTTGTCATTATATGAAAAATGTAACCCGTCAAGGAGCTTATATTCTGTT